AGTTGATGACTCCATGCCCTCCTTCTGCCAAGCTTTTGTATTCATATTTAAAGATATGGTATGTTTACCAGAAGTTACCCAGATTTTTACACATCTCCTACTTCAGCAGTCCTTTGGGCAGTACAAAGAACAGTGTGTGTGGTGTCTGGGCAAGCCACATCTTCCAGGTATAACTCCTGGGACTAAAGACCAAAATTCCCTACAGCCCCAGGATGAACTAATGCACCCATGAACTTTCGCATAGACACTCAAGTCTCATATCTGCCCTGTGTCTTTCCAGGTACACTTTCTCCTATAAAGATGGTAGCATCTGGTCCCAAGGAAGGGAAGGTCTCCGGATCACTTCCACTCACCTGTACTGTAATGGGAACACCTCTGAATAGTCCTCGGTATGACTGGAATTTTGTCCGTCAGGCCCCAGGAGGTGAGCTGCAATTTCTAGGTTGGATCTATCCTTTTGGGAATAACACAGGCTATGCCCCTGCTTTCCAAGGCCGAGTCACCATCTCTGCAGATAAAGACAAAAACAAGGTTTCCCTGCAGCTGCATGCCCTCAAAGCCTCAGACACAGCCACCTACTTCTGTGCTAGGCAGCACACAGGGACACCAACGGGGGGAGAGACAGCACAACAAGGGGAAGGACTGGTGTGGTGACAGGGCCCTTCCTCAAAATGCCACAGTTGCTTCTAGGAAATATCAATGAGGCTTTCTGAAGGCACTCATGTCTGTCCAGTAGCTGTCTACACCTCTGAGGCTCAAAGTCTCCCTCCAGTTGGACCTCATCATCCACCCACAGACACATACATACAGGAAACTGTACTGGAAAGGGCTTATGATGGGGAAAAAAAAAAAAAAAGGAAAACACACAACAGTGGCAGTAACCAATATAAAAGTCAAGTGCCACAAATGCCCAAAGTGGGGCATCTTTGCTTCAGTGACCATGGGATGGTGAAGTTCAGGCTTCTGAGAAGTGGCAACAAAGCAAATAGCAGGATCAAAACAATGGACTGATTTGTTTTTCTCAGGATCCTGCCTGTAAGAATTCCAGGTGTCAGAGACAATACAGTCTTACCTTGATCGTGAGGAATTTAGCTTTCTTTTATTTCTTGCCTAGTAACATATTTTTTTAATTCCGACTTAGATACTGAGAAACAAAAGACACAGACTACTAAGCACGTAGGGAAACACCTTTCCCCAGCTTCAAATTGAGTCCAACATCTCTCCCTCTCCCTTGGCTTTTCAACATCTCATTTCCATCACAAGATATACCCAGTCCTTCCTAATTCCTTTAGTGAGACAAGACACAGCTCAGGAGATTGAAATTGTGTTTCTCATGGGTCCTTTCTGCTTTGCCTTGCTGCTGTACAGTAGAACTCAAGGGGCTTGGGAGATTACAGATATTTATAGTGTAAAGTGATTGACTTGCTGTCAAACCCTCCTAAGGTGCATGTACAGGACTGCAGCTGTAGCAGTTACAGTTTTGCATAGTCCTGAGAAGATGTGGTCTGGCACAGTTCTCATGCTTTGCACAGCAGGGCTGATTTCAGTCAGGTCTGCTTGTCAGTGATGCCTGAAACAAAGTACTGTTCAGTCAACTTAAGTAGGTGTCCTTTTTGTTTCCTTTACCCCCAATATGTTCTCCTAAACATATTTGAGCAGAGAAGCTTTTATTGAAGCTTTGACAACTGGTGGTTTGTTTTTTATCTGTTTTGTCACCAGCTGGAACCAGTTGTGAAAGGCACAAAGCAGTAAATGGCCTCTGTCCTGGATTAAACCAGGATGAGGCCAATTTTCTTTTTACTGATTTTCTTTAATTTTTTTTTCTTTTAGAGAACTCTCTTTTAGCTAGGAGCAAGTTTCCAGCTAGTGGACTGATAACACTGGAATGTTTATGTTACTGCTGAGATGCCAAGGTCACTTTGCTCTGCTTGCTGAATCTGCGGCCTCAGATGTTAAAGGACAAGAAGAGTTGTATATGCAGCCATCCTGTAGGTGGGAGTGGACTAGATGGACAGCCAAATTGACCAAAATATTCCATTCCATATATCTACATAAGCTCGATATAAGGTGTCGCAATCCGCGACCTATTATATCTCCTTTTTGGAGTGTATTTAGCTTGTCAGATTTTGCTGAGAGGTCTGCACGGGCCGCTCGCATCTCACAGAGGAGCAGTGAGCTTCGGCACTGACTTTTCAGGTGAGAAACTTGCTCAGTACTTACTATTGCTTCCAATAACAGCAACCAATCCCCAATTAGAATTTATGAATTCATGGTTTATTGTGGGGAAAACAAAACAATTTGGGGCAGGAGGTTCAAAAAGGGTAACTAAAGCACATGCGAACTGTGAAATATCTTTTAAGCACCAAATAACAAGAACTTATGTCTTAATACTTATATATAGGTATACCTTATTTACACACCTTATTTGTCTATGAGGGGAGAGGAAGGAGAGATATCGCGGTTTGTGTGCAGGTGAGACAGGAACACCTTAGGGAGAGAATTATGCCTTCCTCTGCAACCCGGTTTTAGAACCACGGGTGGCAGGAATTAGTCTCACCACACGTGCTCAGCAGCAGACGGGTTCCTGAGGTGGGTAGCTGCAGGCAAGCTGGCAGGAAAAAACTGCGGCAAGACGGGACGAGCTGGGTCTAGCTGGAGCAAACTGGTACCAGACAAGAGCTGGGACTAGGCGAGCCGGGACTCGGGCTGCAGCGACGAGCTGAGGACCTCAGGCTGGTAGGCACTCCAAGGCGCAGGTCACCCCCCTCCCAAATGCGGCAACAGCGGCAGTGGTGGCGGTAGCAGCGCATGACTCTGGAAAACTACGCTGAGGAGCAAGCGGCAAAAGCACGCCGAGAAGCAAGGAGCGGCACTCTCAGTATCTGTGGAAAAGCGCACTGAAAAAGCAGCACACACGCTGCCTCTTTATAGGTCTCCTTTGCTCCCGATTGCCTGGTTTCGTATTTCCAGGCTTCTCAGCCAATCAGACGGGGACTTTGACCATTGCAGCTGCTTTTCCCACCATGGCTCCTCTCCAGCAGCAGCTGCCCCCTCAGGGCATCTGAGTTGTTGTTTTCTGGCAGAGAAGGCAGCCAGGAGAGGGTTCAGAGTGCCACGTGGAACAGCCATTTTTGAGCCAGTTATGACTGCTGACCTAAAGGGCAGTTTATGTTCGTGTGAGGAAATACCTGGTCCTTCACATAAGGTCAGGGATCACAGCAGTCAAGCCCCTTCCTGCTTCTTCTCCCTTCTCTCCCATCCATAGCTGGTGTTTGTGGAGGACTCTATCTGCCCATCCCCATTGATCTCCAGGCTCATGCATCAGTCTCCTCTCAGCTCCTAGCTGCTCTGCCTTTCCTCCAGCATCTCCAGGACATTTCAGAACTACTCACCCCTCAGGGGATGCTGGGGGAGTTGCTGGTGTTGGCGAGAGACAAGAGAGGTTTGCACGTTCCTGAACACATTTGTATATATTGTACATATTTTATCTTTAGTGCTTAATTAAAGCTGTCTAGTTTAGTTTTCAATACAGAAAGTCTCTCTCCATTTACTCTCTCTACTTCACTACCTGGGTGAGAGTTGCTTGAGGGAATTATTTTCGCTGGTTTAATTCCCAATCCTGAGTCAAACTGTAACAGCCTCCCTCTGCAAAGGACACCCAGAAAGGAGTTTACTAGTGAAATGCTGAAATTTACACCAAATAAACTTTGAGTTTATGACTGTCCTGAAGAGAAGAGAGGTCCAGGAGAACTGATTGATTTTAAAAATAATCTCCTCCAAACTCAAGAACCCATGTACAAATTTCATCCCCATGTACAGGAAGCCAAACAAAAGTAGCAGAACAGATGTTGAATGAACCAGCTGCTCCTGACAAAACTCAGACATAAAAAGTACTGAAAGCAGGCCTGGGTGACCTGAGAAGAACACAGAGACTATCAAAGCATGCAGGCATGGAGATAGGAAAGCCAAAGCTCACCTAGAGATGAATCTGGCATGAGATGGGAAAGCAACAAGTAAAGCTTCTCCAGGCATGTCAGCACCAAAAGGGGATATCAGCACATTTGGCAAATGGTCATGCTGCTAAACTGGGTAACAATTTGCATAGAAAAGGGTTGAAGTTTGTGTACCACCTTTGTGTATTCTTTATTAATAAAATTCACCTTCAAGAATTCCAAGCCCCTGAGGTCAGCAGGAAAATCCAGAGCAAGGAAGACCAAAGTCCTCCTGAGCTGATGAGGATCAGGTTGAAAGAACATTTAAACAAACTCAACATATACAAGTCATTCTGATATGGCTAGCTGCACCCACAAGAACTGAGGGAGCTGAGTAATGTCATGTGAGGGCACTCTTGATTATCTTTGCAAGGTGATGGGAATCTGGGCAGGTTCAAGAGATAAGAAAAAAAAAAAATCACTCATCTTCAAAAAGAACAAGGAGGATATGAGCAATGTCAGGCTTGTCAGCCTCACCTCCGTCTCTGAAAAGATGATGGAAAAAAGGATCCAGAGAAACATTTCAGGTGTATGAAGGACAAGATGATTTGGAACAGTCAGCATGGGTATTAGGAGAAACTGTGTTTAACCAATATGATAGCCTTCTTCAATTACTAGTGTGGTGGAGTAGGGGAAAGCAGTGGATGTTATTTATCTTGGTTAATCTACCTTAATCTGCCATAAAAGTGATGCTGGCAATGTCAATTTTAATTTGAGGCAATTGCTCTGCGGTTTCATTATCTAGCAGTAAAAGGGCAGAGGAAGACAAAATGCCACATTCAAAAGACTTCAAAGAAGGGGAGGGGGGGATGTCACCTGACACTGACATGAAAACACAAATGTTTTTGTATGAAAATACATCACAGTGTGGAGTAGGTATCACAGTGGTTTAATGGAACTGAACCACTCAGCATAAACTGACTTCCTGAAAAGCCTCAAGGTGCAATATTCTTCATTTCCTCATGTCATCTTCCTGCAGACAACTGCATCCTGAAGAACACGTGCTGCTGATTGTAATTCAAGCTATGGGATAGTCATTATGTGCCATGCCAATTTTTCTTCCACTCAAATATGGACATTGGGTACAAGACCATTTGATTTTGAACATATAATGATCAACACCAGCTCAGCAGATAGGTCTGTACCTGCCCCAGTTTAGAGCTTTCTAAGTTACTCGTGTTTCCTTCCATTACAAAGAAATAAATGATTCTCAGAAGAAATGTGTCCCTTCCCAAGATATTTTAGACAAAAAAAATAGCTCAGTCAATTGTACTTGGGGTGTGACTCTCTCCACAACACTCAGATGGCTATCTCAAATGCAGCTCCTGAAGGCTCAGTGAGAAGACTTTAACACCATGAAGCTGGATGACAGCTTCAGTTTTTCCTGACCAGCCACACAGATCATGACCCTACTCTCTACTACTGAGCGTGAACACTTGCAGACTGGTGTGACATTTGCTATCCTCCAGACCTCAGGCACCTCTCCTGTTACCCATGACTTACCAAAGATGATGGAGAGTGGCCTAGCAATGACCTCCACCAGCTCCCTCAGCACGCTTGGATGCATTCCATCAATTTATGGATGTCCAGATTGCTCAACTGAACCCTAACCCAATCCTCATCTACCAAGGTAAACTCCTCCTTTTATCTTGACTTCTTCTGGGGCTGTAGGAATCTGGGCCTCCTGGGGAAAGCCTGCAGGAGTAAAGATGGAGGCAAAGGTGGCATTCAGCACCTCTGCCTTCTTCATATCCTCTGTCATCAGGGCACCCACCTCATTCAGCAGTGGGCGTATATTGCCTCTAGTGTTAGTTTTGTCAGCTTTGTATTTGAAAAAGCCCTTTCTATTATCCTTGACCTGACTTGCAAGGTTAAGTTCCAAGGAGGTCTTAGCTTTCCTAGTTGCCTCCCTATGTCCTCTGACAACTGTCCTATATTCCTCCCAAGTGACCAGCCCCTCCTTCCATGATCTACCTTTTCCACTTGTTTTTGCCAAGCAGCTCCTTTTTTAACTATGCGGGTCTCCTAGCTCCCTTACTATATTTCCTACCCATTGGGACGCTTTTATCCTGAGATTGCAAGAAGCCCCTTTATCTTCTAGCACCCTGTCCCATGGGACTTCCCTTGACAATTGATTGAGGAGGCCAAAGTTTGCCCTGCAGAAGTCCAGGGCTCTGGTCTTGCTAGGTAACCTATTCCTCCCACACAGAATCCTGAACTCCACCATCTCGTGATCACTGCAGCCAAGGCTGCCATTGACCATCACTGCTTCAACAAGGCCCTCCTTGTTGCTGAGTACAAGATCCAGCAGCGCTCCTCTTGATTGGATCACATGGCTGTGTTTACATCCTTGCATTGTAAAGTTAACAGTCACACACTGGGCTCTTCATTCAAGTGAATAAAGACAGGACAAAAGGAAATGGTCTGAAGCTGCACCAAGGGAGGTTTAGACTGGATATTGAAAGAGAGCATCAACTGAACTTTGACTTCAAATAGTTAACTGCTTGTAGGGTGTAAATCTCTCATCCAGGCCTACTGCTAGTGAGTTGTAAAAGACTTTTTGTGAGCTTATCTGTAGTTTTAGGGAAGAAATACAAGTGTCCTTAAAGAAGAAAGAAACCATTCAACTGCGAATAGGGATGTCTGCTGTAACCAATTCTACTCCAGTCAGCAGAGAGAAACTGGATAAGAGAGAGAACTTGGCCAAAGGTTCCTGTGAGGAAGACTCAAGGATGAAGTAAGTGACTACCAGGAGACCCTAATGGACTTAACACGCATGCAATAATGGGCAGACACTTATGTAAGTGATTTATAGGAAAACTAACGAATATGTAAACCATTTCTTCAAAATATTACACATACTTAAGTATCAGCTGTATATATATCTCTCACCTTACCCTGTAAGGTGCACACATTTTTGGAGGAGCTATCCCCTGTGCATCTGGTGCCATGAATAAAGAATACCGATTGAACAGTACTTAGACTGTTGGTGAACTTTCGTTGTTTCAATATTATAAAGAATTTCTTTAACCAAGGAGTGGTTGGACAGTGGAATAGGCTGCCCAGGGAGCTGGTGGAGTCACCATCCCTGGAAGTGTTTAAAAGAATTATAGATGTAGTGCTTAGGGACATGATTTAAGCACTGAACAGGTAAATTAGGCTATGGTTGCTGAATTTAGGTTATGATTGGACTTCATGATCTTCAGAGTCTCTTCCAAGCATTATGATTCTGTGATTTTATGAAGGAGGATCTGGGGAACTACAGGTCTGTCAGCCTGATCTCAGTACCAGGATCCCATTTTACTGGAAACTGGCCTGTGTTGTCCCAATATTCAAGAAGGAGGAACCTGAAAACTACAGGCCGGTCGGTCTAACTTCAGTGCCTGGTAAAATTATGGAAAAGATTATTCTGCTCCCAGTATTCAAAAACATCTGGAGGAAAACACAGTCACTGTTCACAGACAACATGGCCTCACAAGGGGAAAGTCCTACTTGTCAAACAATTTCTTTTTATGTCAAGGTGTGGGAAACTGTTCTTCCCCACATAAGCCTAAACAAAATGCCTTTTCAGCCAGCAAAGGCCTCTCCTGATCATTCCCTGCTCACGGACTAAACCAGACTTGCTTCTCAAGGACAACTGAACCCAAAACACCAGATGTGGTGCGGTACAGAAAGGATGGGCCACAAGCCATCCTGTGCCCCTGGCAGTCACCCCCTAACTTGGGGCTCATGGATGCTCTTTGGCTCTGGGCAGTGACACTGCCTGGACAAGTGGGTCCCGGGGGTATCAGAGGCGGCGAGTGCAGCAGGTGGGCCCTTCCCTCCTCCCTGAGGCCCGTTCGGACGCTTTCTGGTGGGACACCCCTTGCTGCGGGCACTGGTGCTGGGACCTGCCTGCCTGCCTGCCCCGCGTCCAGCCTGGGCCTCAGTGCTGAGCTCAGGGTGCTGAGCCCTGGGGTTGGGGCTGGAGCCCACCCCCGCCCCCCCAAAACGCACACACTCCTTTCCTCACACCCACACACTCAGCACAACCTCTTAAGGAGGGCTGACCTTGGGCTTACTTCCTTCCTTCCCTCCTTCCTTTGGTCCTTAACCCTCTCCATCAAAAGCACAGGACCTTTTGCATTGCCTCCCTAAAGGACACCTTCTCACTGTATACATATTTATATCCCTGGTAGCCATTTACATTTGCCTTGTCCCTAAACATCATCCCTCAGTTTGTGTTAACCCTTAATAAACCAATTGTGGTTTGTGGAGCAAACCTTGGTTTTAGAGGCAATTTCTGAGTGTGTGTGTGTGGGTACTTTCTAACTACCAGCATCCCGCGGTGGCCGTTCCTCTGTGAGAGGCAGCGCCACATGTGACCCTCGGTCTTATACAAAAAACCCCTCCACATCAGGAGGGGCAGTTGCAAGAGCATCCTGACAGCTGGGAGCCCCCCAGTACCGGCTTGCAACACAAGGTAACCCACCTAGCTGATCAAGGGGAGCCAGTGGATGTAATATTTCTGGACTCCAGCAAAGCTTTTGATACTGTCCCTCAGTAGTCTCTTGGACAAAATGTCCAACACACAGCTGGACAAGCGACAGGGAGTGGGGTAAATATATCAGGTTGGTGATCGGTCAGTAGTGGGGTCCCACAGGGCACGATCCTAGGCCCTGTCCTCTTCAATAATTTAATCAATGACTTGGACACAGGAATCAAAGGAATTCTAAGTTTGCTGATGATGCAAAGCTGGGAGGAGCTGTTGACTCTCTTGAGGGAAGGCAGGCCCTGCAGAGAGACCTCGACAGCTTGAAGAGATGGTCAGCTGGCCTCTTCTCCTAAGAAAATAATGATAGGACCAAAGGAAATGGCGAGAAGTTGTGGCAGGGGAGGATTAGATTGCATATTAGGAAGAATTTCTATACTGAAAGAATGGTTAGGATGGAATAGCTGCCCAGGGAGCTGGTTGAGTGACCATCCTTGGAGGTATTCAGGAAATGTGTAGATGTGGCGCTTCAGGGCAAGCTCCAGTGGCTGAGGTTGTAGGGTTTTTCTGTGGGTGTTTTCTGGTAGAGTGTGTGTAGTTGTTTGTGTTTGTTTGGGTTTTTTTGTGTTGATGGTTGCGCTCCGTGATCTCAGAGGTTCTTTCCAGCCGTGACAATTCTGTGATTCTATGAACTCTAAAACCTGAAATTGAGATTATTCCTATTCTTCCTGGGCAATAATAACTAGTTTAAGGTGAAAAAAAAAGCCCAACAGAACACTTCTGCAACTCTGAAGATTTTCACTAATTGCTGAAAAATAGTACTCAAGCAACTTTTGCTTTTTCATTAGACTAAAACATGAGCCATCCCAGAGCAACATTATAATCCTACAGGTTCCAAGCAGGCTCAGATCCCCTCTCTTGGTCCTTATGTTAAAGTCTGCATGATTTCTTCATGTGGTATATAGGTTATATGACTACCCATCTCATATGACAGTAAAAGGGAAGGAAGAGGCACTTTTTGTAACTAAGTATATCACTGTGTTGAGAACTTGGAGTAGCACAGTGACACAAACACTGTAAGGTCTCATACAAAAACCTGAGACTGCAAAAGGAACAGTACCTTTTGAGGAAGAAAGGAAAAGGGGATTGTGTTAAAGAAGATAATGGCAGGATTCCTACGAACATTTATTCTGGAAGCATATTGCTTAATGAGCTAATAAAAGAAGAAAGGCTTTTAAAAGCTTTGGCCTGGACCAAGTTGTTTGAAATCACTCTACTCTATAATTATTGCTTTTTCCTCTCATGATTTTGGAAACAAAGGTGACTTTGGAGCACTTTCTTTGAAGTCCTTGTATGGATTCTTTGGATAAACAACTGGCATTTTATTAAGTCCTGATTTTATACACTTTTAGAGTGTGGTGAAGAAAGTGGGTTTATTTGACTATGTACAAAGACTGTGGCAACAGACAAGCTTGTATTTGGAACTGGGATCCCTTTTTCAGCTGAGCCAAGTAAGTTCCACTTGTTTTACCATTAATGTATTTCTTAAGTTTGTGATGGATAGATAAAGGGATTGTGTGATGCTATGGCATAATGAGAAATTTCTGCTGCCTTGAATCTCTTGAAGGTGCATTCTCCAACCAGGTGTTTGAGTTCCCAGCTCATGTTTTCCTAACAAAGTTTTTCAGGAACAACAAAGTTTCCTAGCATCAGCATTACTCCAAACTAATTGCATCCTCACTGATAAATGTAAGACTGTTGTTTATACGGAGTGGGAATGGTGTCAGCACAGCTACAGTGTGAGGTGAAAGCAGTTGCTTGCTTTCGTGTAACACTAAGTTGTGTATAAAAAAATAAAAAAGATGGGTTTCAGGAGAAAGTAGTTCCCATGGAAAGACAAGGCACATTAGTTTTTGTGGCAACTGCTTGAAATGTAAGCAAGATTTTTATGTTTAGAAATGTCAACCTTCTGAATGTGATCTTTATCAAGATGAAACACCTTCCCCAGCTTTTGTGTGACAATGTGCAAGTTAGGGCAATGGATGAGTTTGTTGGATTGATTTTTATTGTTAAAAAAAATTCAGCTGCCTAGCACCACCTCAACCCACACACTCCCCAGACAGGCACGGGACTCTCTTAGGTGCTAGCTCACATCTGCAAGCCCTATGCAGCTGCCTTTTCTTTAGGGCATATTCCATGCCTTTTTTGGGGGAAGATGAATGAAGCTATTGTTCCTGTAAGAGCAGGGAATCCAAAGATACTATTTCGAAGACATAATTTGCAAAAGTCAGACAGCAAGGTACAGCTTCCATCAGCCCAACCTCAATCTATGCTAGTATAAACTTGCCAGTTATTAGTATGACAGGTATTCTACCATCAACAATCAACCAACAAAAGGTGTTGGTGGATGAAAGTCTAAGTAACAATATTGCCTTTTCAGATAAAGCACAGAAGTGCTAATGTGAGGTTCAGTTTCTACACAGAAATTATCTTGCATGTTTTTAAAACCAACTGAATTTCAGACCAGTTATATCAGTAATTGCTGTGTCATGACTTCTGTTCTTCAGTCACAGTAGGTTTTAGAAACTATTGGTTACCCCAAAGACAAAAGTAGATTTTCCAGGTTTCTAGAATTCTGGTATCCCAACACTTTTTAGTGTGTTTTTAGGGGGTGTTTTGGTTTTGTTTGTTTGTGTTTTTTCCTCTGTGGAAGATTATTAATATAAGGACTGAAAACAGCTAACTACATCACAGGAGCTGGGCCTCCCAAGATTCTCCAAGCACAAAAACCAGAAAAATATCTTTTAATCACTGCAGAGTTTTTGGACATCTCCTCCTTTTTGGAATTCAGAATTCAGTAAGAGAATAGCTGAAGAAAGACTTAGTTCATGCCCTGTATACTTCTCATTGGAGGAGTCCAAGATCCACAAGAGGATGAAATATACATCCAATTCTGTGATTTTCTCCAGTGATGAGGAAAATAAAGAAGTACAATTTTTTGCATAAGTATATTAACTGCCTTTTGTGTGCAATATAAATATAACCACTCCCCGCTACAGCACCATCCCCCATACCCAGTACACAGATGCCCTAAGGATCTACCATTTTCTTTCAGAAGGGACAGTCAGAAATAAGACAGAACAAATGGTGCATTTAGAATGGCACTAAACTCCTGTTAGACACCCAGGGTTGTACTTTAGGATGGTTCAGCTTTATGCAGTGAGGTTCTCTCTCAAGAGATAACAGAACTGTTGACTTGTTTGGAGAAGTTTATATGCCAGAGTCAAGTTCCACATAGAAATATTATAGAAACTAATACTAGAATTTTGAAAGATAACCTCCTTAGAATTGAACATTTGTTAATGAAAGATTTGACCTCATCTTCCATTTTAGCAACATTATTTTGTATCTGCAAGCAATTTCACTCAGTGGAACAGCAATGTAGAGTGGAGTAACAAACTGTCTTATATTCCTTTGCTTTAAGCCTTTTTAGCCTCATCAGATAAAGGATTTTTGGGTAATAAAAGTAAGATATTTTAATCATGTTACAAGCATATAAGGCTATCCTTGAAATATGTGTTTTTAATATCTAAATTGTTAAAAATTTAAAATTAATATGATAATTTGTGTTGCATTCTTAAAAGTTCCCTTTCTCATTTCAAGGTGCCTTACTAAAAGGAATTCACTTTGAGATATATATAAATATTAAAATATATACATACATACATATGAATCCAGGGATTAGAAGGTCCAATGAAAATCCCACCCATATACTCCCTTTCTGTCTTTGATCTGCTTTTTGGGAAAAAGGAGGGAGAAACAAACACAGAACAACACTCAGCTGTCAAGGGGCAGATGTGGCAGGACTATACCTGAATTATAGACGATTTAGGTCTCAGAAAAGTATGCACCAAATAAAGTAATCCCAAACTGATACTTTTCTTTTGTAGAGAGTCAAGAAGAATCTGCCCCAGAAATCATTGTGCTTAAATCAAAGGAACCCAAACAATATGACAGCAAACTGAATATGGCTTGTTTGGCAAGAACTTTCTACCCTAACGACATCAGTCTTGACATGCCCCAAAGTGACACTGTATATGATCTGAAGGCACCTCTTGTTACATCTGAGGGGATATATAGTACCATGAAGGTAGTTGGAGTGGAACCAGATGGAGAGGTGACCTGCAAGGCCATACACAATGGGAAAAGGACTACAGCCAACATAGTTCTGCCAGGTACAGTGTTATTGTCCAAATGCAACACGATTCTGGGAGATGCAAATTCCAATATTTTTTCTTGCCCTTTGGGAAGCTAGCAGGAGCAATTAAGTACAATCAGTAAGGTTATTTTTCTATGGCAAAATTCATTTTTTTAAAGGGAGAGAAAATAAAACTCAACAGTCCTGAGGGTGGTTTCTGCAATCACATGTAGAAGGCTATTTTTTCTCTTAAGATTAATCTCAGCATTAATGACATGCCATCTGATTCTCCAGTATTGTTTATCTGCTGCTATAGGCATGTTTTGAGTAGTTTTTGTTTTCTATAGTTTGGATGCAATTTATGATGTCTCTCAATCGTTCAACAGCAGAGAAGACTGAAGAATTTGAAACAGTTAATGCTTGCATCATTACAGATGCCTCTACAAAAGGTTAGTTGCTTGCAATATGGTATGGTTACTTCATTGGGGATTCTATAACAATTCATAAAAATGTATTGATACAGAAATGTCTGAATTGTAGATACTTTTTAATCAATAAACTACACTTTCTGTGGACTCATTACCAAAACATGAAAAATTGCTTTTTCTGGCGCAGAAATGTCAGAACTGGAAATACTGAGAAATAACTTGATAAAACAGCAATGGGAATTAAATTCCTTCACTAAGCTGGCATCTCTTCTTTTCCCTGCATTTGATATATTCCTCTGTCATCTTTTCCTTTGTTCCTTCTTCCCTCATCCACCTATGATGTATGGATTTTCCTCCATTTTTTTTGAAGGGGGGGGAAAGGGGAGTGGTGCTAATATAAAGATGATACTCTCTTTCATCTTGTCTTTTTAAAGCATACATCAAAACGGAGGAAGTGAATATGCTGTCCATGACTGTTTTGGGTTTGAGAGTCCTGCTGACAAAAAGCATCGCCTTCAATGTAATTATGAGTATAAAGCTGTCTGTCTTCCAAGGTAGGAAGGACCTCATTCAGTCCTTGGGAACATGGGAGACAAGTGCAAGGAATGACCACTTGGCTTTGCATCCCTCTGTAGCCCCACAAGGAGTGACATCAGTTCAGGTGTTCTTGTTTGCACTGGATAGGTTAACATAACCCTCCAAATTCCACCTCATCCTGAAACAGGTTACTGAGGTTTAACCCTAGCCAGCAGCTAAACCCCACGCAGCCCTTCACTCACTCTCCTCACTGGTTGCTGGTTGTTTCACGTGGCAGAGCAAAACATCTGGTTGCGTCTGGATCAGCAAGAACTATAAAGGGACAATCCCAAAAGACAACAAATGTGAATAGGGGGAGAGAAAAAGGGAGGAGGGAGAATTTTGAAGATCATGTAACCAAAAAGACATTAAAAAATTATAATAATAATTGCCCTATCAATTCCAGATTAGCAAGAACTCAGCACCACTGCATTAAATGTGAATAAGAATTGAAAACAAGCATTGGGGTTTTTTCCTCTTTCAGGTATTGGGTAAGTGAGCCAGTAATGGGCTGCAGAAGAGCAAGAAAGAACACACAGCAGGACAATTTAAACAATATGGGTCAGCCTTGCTACCAACAAATCACCCAGTTCCCCTTGATTTGAATCTTTTTACGTCATCAAGGTGCTCTTCATTTAACACCATCTGGAAGCCTTCTTAGACAGCTGATACTGCCGAACTTTTTTCTAGCTTCTTTTTATTAATTAATGAAAAGAACATTTTTTGTTATTTCTTTTTTCCATTAGAAATTTCCCTCATGCCTCTGCTAAGCAGTAACTAACTCTCCTACTCCTGTATCTACTGGACTGAAGCATCCAAATTGATTAAATAGTTTTGAAAACTTAAAATAGAACTTTATACTTTCTTTGCTTTAAAAATACCATCTTTGGTCATATTACATCATTGTCTACAGAAGGAATGCTTTTCTGCTTAGGGATCCCAAACCCCGAGGGAGCACTGTATAGTTTAAATTTTTAGAAGCTTTTATTAGTGGCAACTTTCTAGTGCAGGTAACTAGATCTCCACTGGACCTAAAGGAATTAACTTCAGACAAGTACACAGTAGTGTTTTCATTTCCCTCTCTTCTTTAGAATATTATTCTCTTTTAAATAACTGTTAAGTATATGATACATGCATTTTATGTTTCCTTAACATACACCAAAATAAAGTTTTATTATGCTTTTATTGCATTGTGCCTCTTCTTCTGAAAGTTGGGCAGAAATTGTTGAAATTCCACTGTCCTATCCAGTGATCTCACAGAACTATAAAACCACCTATTGCTGCCTAAATCTGATTTTTATTAAATTTGTCTTTCTTAAACTTCCCACAGGGAAAGA